TACCTGGTAAGCTATTTGTTACACACCATAATTCTAATCACAATATGTGCCCTTGACATTGAGATGCTATAACAAATTGCCAGCTACTTATGTCTGTGTTTAGACATGAAGAATACTGGCAAGTCTTCTTCCTGCTGCCACTATACCAGTTGAAGAGTTCAATACACTTCTTAAGAGCTGCCACCCTTGCCAGCTTGCTGCTTCAGCTGCTCATGTGAGCCGTTTCAGTCAAAATAAGCAGAACCAGCCTACATAGTTTTAAGATCTTTGCAATCGCAGTTCATTTTGCAGACAGCTTTGAGAGCAAGGTCCAGTTCTGTCTTTTTTCTTTACGATTTGTACGTTATTTGCAGTGTTTCATTTATTTGCTTCCTTTTCAGGAAGCATTAGGTTTACAGCTCAGTTGGAGCACATCTTAGAACAAATGTGCCTTGGGTGTTGTGGAGGAAAAAGGTGGAAGGAAGTAATACAGAAATCAGGATCACATTTCTATCTTGCCTATCTTGAGCTTTTTCCTCTAATGACTGCTTTGCTGTTCTGTTCTGCATTAAGATTTTCTAGATATCAACAGAGCCAAAGTGGTAGTACTTGGAAAGAAGAGAGAAGGCAAGTGGTCTAACAATTGTTTCTTTTGGGTTTTATAGTGCAGAGTATTTAGGAAGTATGTGATGCGTTAGGGAACTGGAGGGAAATACGCTGTCAGTAGGAAAAGTTGGAATGCAACCCTTGGAATTCAGAAGAGAAGTAAAACTGCAATTTTTTTGTCTGTAAATGACAAGCTCAGTGGGGATGCTGAACTTACTTTAATACCTAATATCCTGAAGTTTAAAAGGAATTTAATGCTGAAAACTGTTTGGACAGGATATTTATTAACTGTTGTTCTTCAGGTTTATACCAATCTTTGACTTTCTGAAGCTAGGATGAGACCTAATGTGAGGGATGTTTTATCCCACGTCTTCCCCCTTTTGTTTCTAATGTTTCCCTCTAAAGCCTCTGATATTTGCCATTGTACAAGGTAGAGACTTGGCTAGAATCCCTTTGGTCTGATCTAGTCTGTCAAGTTACTGCTTGCAGTAGTTTAATTTTCTCTGCATTCCTCTCTACCCCTTATCCTGTTAGTATGGACTTCCCTTTACAGATTGCTCTTCTGTCAACTCTGTTATTCATCCTATATTCAGTATACTGAGTCTGTAACTGTTCCTTGGAAAAAAACAGAAAACAAAAAAAATTCCCTGAGAGAATTTTCTGAGCGTTGACACAAAATTCCACATACAACGCCGGTTCCATTTTCACGTTCCTTTTCCAAAGCAAACAGCTTTCTTTCCTGTGAACTGGGAGGTGTGAGGTTGCAGAGCTTTGGAGCTGTGAGAATCCCATTGCCGTCCCTGGAGTAACACTGTTTCCTCTCTTCTTTCCTTCCTCTCTGCTTCCTGGGGCTTTATTTGCGGTTAGAGCTCCATCCTTTTTGACTGACTGTCAAAGGCTTGCACAGGTGGCAGAAGGGAAAAGAAAAACCAGTCGTGCCTGGAGTCATCACAAGCTCTGGCAAGATCAGAGATGGTCAATTTGAAAATGTGATAGGGCTTGGAAGACAATATGCTTAGTGGGTTTTTTGTGTTGTTTGTTTGTTGTTTGGGTTTTTTTTAGGACTTTTGTGCATAACTCAGGAGACTGTAGTGAGACCTACCCACCTCTGATTTAAAAAAAAAAAAAAAGAGTTAATCGCTGGTTGGCATTGCAATACTGAGACTTATCCTCAAGCCTTCCTCTGTAATTTTAGATTTCATTCTGCCAGTGACCTGTGCTTCTCTCTTCAGCATTTGTTGACACATCTCAGGATGAAAGTTAGAAATCAAACCTGTGTTGGAATGAGAGGGGACATGATCCAAGATCTTTCTTTCCTGAACTTTCCTACAGGATGAGAAACTGCAGAACAGTTCCCTACAGCATTTGGAGTTTGAAGAATTAAAAATAGGAGCTGGGTACCTATGTTTTCAAATAAGCTATCCTGCCATATACTGGAAGTGTAATAAATAAATAGTGAGTGCTTAGGAAATATTTAACAAGATCTAAGTACGTACATTCTTAAATGTTGTTTGCTCTTCTCACCCAGGTGATCTGTCTAGACTAAAATACATTGGC